GAGGATGAATGTTGCAAAAGATCAAATTTAGTAAGTCTGTCAGAACAGGAGGTGAGGAAAAAGACAATTTGGAGAGAAAATTATAAAGCAATATAAGTGCTAGAAACGCTCTAATATCGTGACGGCGAGTGATGCAGTTGGAATACTAAGTCTTCTTTTTACCAAATGCTGGACTATCTCATCTCTCCTCTGAATTTTCCCTATTCTTTAAAAAAACCTCTCTTCCTTGTTTATTTCATCCATGGTTATTGATCCTGGTTCCACCTTCATGTCGACAGCATCCAGTGGTTGTAATCCTCCAGTCTGTTTGCATGGAACAGATGGCTAGAGCAACCTTGCACCATTAAAATGGTGTAAATGCTGCTGTAGCCTAGCACGTGTCAGTCTGTTGCACATGTGTCTTGATAGTGTTTCCATTTTTGTTTTGTTTTTTTACGTTGTGTTCTTGAATATCACCGACAACCTTAATAATGACAGTTCTGTTTCTTTTCCCATTTGTGCGGTGTTGTGATACCCTAAAATTAAATTAACCCCCCCCCCCCAGAAGCTCATTTTTGCTGCATCTTGCTAGATGTTTGATCTGTTGTTTTGTTTTTTCTTTTTGTTTTTGCTTAACCCATTTGTGTTGTGTCGAATGGAATTCTTCCTGCACCTTCACACTTCCCTGCCATCATTTTTATTAACGTGCATGGGCTGTGTGTCACCCCTGTTAACTTGGATGGATTAATTTTGGTTCTTCTTAAGCAAAACAAACCCCTTCCACATGAAATCTGTGTTCCGTTCCAATCTGGATCTGGTTTGTGCAATCAAATTGCAGAGGACTTTTAAAGAATCCTCACGTATTCTCACACCTCGATGAAATTAACCAAATCAGTGTTACTAATCAGCTGTTCCAATTAAACCCTTGTTTTAACTGTACTAACAACCATTTTTGTGTCTGACTCTCCCTTACTTACAAAAGTACTAACAGATTCCGATCACCCTCCAACCTTCGAAGCCTTTTTGGGCATCACTTCTGAACCCTTTCTCCCTCTAACTGTCGATGATGCGGCGTTTTCTGGGTTTCCTGATTATTTCTAATCCCCATAAAAGTGTAGCTTATTTTTTTTCCGTTATTCTTTAACATAATTGGTCTCCAGGTGGGAAAATTTTGACAATCTGCCAGACATCTATCAAAGCACTCAACGAGAACTGCTTTTTAAATGGAAAACTTCTCTTTAGTGGCATCGTTGGAATGTACACGGTTGTGAATACTTAATGCGTTTTGCTATATCGAAGGCAGAGATTTTTCATTTCCCCTCGCTAAAGATCTATGAAAATAAACAGATGTGGTTCTATATGGGTAAGTGATCCATTCTCAAGGTAAGAATTTTAAACCTTTTTTTTCTGCAGCGCCTGCAGGGGGGAAAAAAGTCACTTTCCTGACAAATTAGTTGCAAATATGCAAACTAATTTATTACATTGTGAAAAAATGTTTTATCGTCAATGAAATCCTGATAAATTACTTTCTTCCTCCATGTTCTGCTTTTTTAAGCAAAGTAAGTTATTAAACATCACCATATAACCTCCATATAGGAGGCTTAAAGGAAGAGC